AGGGTTTGTAAAAAAAGAAAGTATGTGTAAAAAAAAAATTAACTTTTTTTTAACTTAATAAAAAGTTAAAAAAAAATGTGTATTAACTTTTAACTTAACTGAGTTAACCTATWATTAAATTAACTTTTAACTTTTAACTTTTTGTAATTGGTGCATATTAACTTAACTTAACTGAGTTAAAAAAAATCATTAACTTGCCCAGCCTTGATAATTATATGTAATTTGTGACAACACGAGCAATTTTTTTCAAACACGTGAAAAAAAAATTATTCAATTTTGCAGTAAAATATCAGCTTTGTAAAAAGGCAAAGGATCCGATGGTTAGGACACGCGATGCGGAGAAGCGAGGATGATATAAGTAGGACAATCCTAAATTGGAAACCAATGGGAAAGAGACCACGAAGAAGAAAAAGGTGGCTGGATGTTGTGAAAGAAGACCTTGAAAGATTGGGAGTACAAGAATGGAGAACAGTAGTTCAGGAACGTGAAAAATGGAGAGATATTGTGATGGCAGCCAAAACTCTTAGAGACTATACTAAGTGCTAGAGGAGAAGAAGAAGAAGAAGTAAATATCAATTTTATATTCAATGTTATAATTCAATACAAATTATAATAACAAAAAATTATAAGGTAAGATACTTCTATACATCACTATTTGGCTTAGGTATGGCTATTATATTGCATTTTTTGTCAATACTATTAAGTCTTAACTAAAAAAAAAACGTTTTTGAAAAACTAACTGAATTAAATCCTTACCTATATTAAAAGCGAATGTGAAATGATAAAATGTAACAATCTGTTATCTCTACCTATAAAAGCGTTTAAAAATATATGGACATGATAGAGTAAGCAGTAACTATAGTGAGCAACACACTGCACACGCCAGCTAGTTGGCGTTCAATAAATGGTAAACAATAAGACGAATAGACGATTCGTCATCAACAACCTGCAAGTGATAGAAATCGTAGCACATATTATGAGTTCATTGCTTATACTCGAATTGTCCTCTCGTAAACTTTGAAATTAAACATGTACAGACCACCCATTCTACCGTTTTCATTTTTATCTCTGTTGTAATAAACATCGCTTTCGTCTTATAGACATCATATAATATGGCATGATGACGTTCAAAGCCGTTATTTTAGAATTGCCTTTATTGAAATATTTAAAACGCACGGTTTAAATGATTATACGGCACTAGCTAGATTGGTGCTATATTGCGTTCTAAAAACAATTTTTTAACTACAAGCTTTGTATGATTATTAAGCATAGAAATTATCATACAGTATTATATTTAACAACAATTATTTAAATTGATTTTTTTTTCTGCTTTATAATAAAATAATAAAATAAAATTTATTATCGTCGATTTTCTGATCCTAAAGTTATATGTGAAGTGTATTGGTTCTTTTAAGAAAATATTGTAAGAGATATCTATATTTACATAATTTATTACTTATTAGTTATTTCTTATTATTACCATGTTAACAAGTTGTTACGTTGTTAATAACAACCACTATATTATGATCTATATAATATATTGTTATAGTATTGATAGTACATTATAGTACTTATCACAATAATGTTATTTATTAAAATATATAGAGATCATTCCATTATTATTTACATGTTTAAACATTACATATTATTTGATGAGTTTAAGCTAAAACAAGATTTTAAAGTTTTAGAAGTACCTACGTAATAACAACAGGAAAACAGAGATAAATTAATTTTTATTTATAATAATCATTAAGAGTACGTAACAGTGGTATTTGTTGTCTCCGTTTTACCAGTGATATACCTAGCAAATTTACGCTCAGCAGAATACTATTGTAGCTCCTTTAGTTTAAAAATTACAGTGAATCGGCCTATTATGAAAGTGTATG